GTGTTTTCCACTGATGCCTGGACGGGGCGTTTAGCGCACGATCAGTGCTCATTAGCTAGTAGCTACTGTTACTATTCCCCACCCCTTGAGCTACTAACATGAATGAGGGGCAGTCTTCCATCTAGAACTTTTTAAAAGCTAAGATAAACTTTCAGTGAATGATGAGAATGGCCTACACGTGGTCAATGTGGTGCACACATAAGAACGCGTTCCCCCTTCTCCGCCCTGCACGGCAATATACTTAATAAAGTGCCTTTGTGCTTATTTTATCAAAAGGTGATATAGACTCTAGAAATGTAAGTGTGACCAAAAGCGATTCATTACGTAGAAAACAGCGGTGCCTTCACAGCGATGCCCTCAGCCAGCTACTCATTTGGGCTCATCGCTAAAAGCGGCGCTTCGGCGCTGCGTGCACAGGCCGCCCTCTGGGGAAGATGCCCTGCGACATCCCGAGGCCGGGACAGCAACGCCGAACTTCCCACACGTTCAGAATCCTCACAGGGTTTTCTGTCACAGTCTCTGGGTGTTCTATCGGTCTCATTTACGATGATGACTCTAATCTCTGTAAGACCCTGTTTCCAAGTTACTATAATTACACCCAACACTAATGAAGCAGCTATCCCCAATGAGACACAGGGTGGACCCCAAGTATGCCTAAGCTTGCGTGCCCATTTATATCCCAATGGGACAAAGCCACAGAGCTAGCTGTAATTTGCAAGAACAAAATTTTCCATGAATCAGTAAAGCCCTGAAAGCTTTAAAAGGCCTTTTTTACGGGTAATTTCTGAAGCACAGTATTCCAGTAAACTCAGAGAGTATCGTAGTCCCCACTTTTCCAAGAGGGATGTGTCCCAAGACCCACAGTGGATGCCTGAAACTGCAGATAGTACCGGACCCTATATATACTCTTTTATCCTATACAGACACATATACCTGCACACTTAAAAGAGGGACATTACAGCTTCTCTTTGAAATATTTGAATTGTTAGCACCACTGCTCTTGGGCCTGGGGGCCTTTATTAAGTAAAATAAGAGTTATGTGCACACAATGTCAATCTGATGACCACAACGGCCACTCAGCGTGTACGGTGTGGACATGCTGGACAAAGGGATGATTCACGTCCAGGGGGGACAGGATACTCAGAACAGCCCACAATTTAAAACTGATAAACTGTTTATTTCTGGAGTTTTCCATTTAATATTTTCAGACCACAACTGACCGTGGGTAACTAAATCCACAGGAGGGGGAGCTGCAGAGAAGGGGGGACGACTGTAGTGACAAAACATTCTAAAGACAGGACCGTGACATTGTTTTTCACGCCGGTGGGGAGGAAGTCAGCTCCCTCCTGACATAAGGAAAGGGGGTCACTTAGCCACTTTCCCCCGGTTCTCTGGAGAGTCTGAGATGTCACCGCTGCGCCCTCACGGTACGGCTGCTGCCTGTGTGCAGCGGGGGACCAGAGAATTAACGGGCGCGGGGCCTGCACGCGGTGCGAGCACCGGGCTCCCGTGGGACGGGCACTCCCTCCTGCGGGAAGGAACGGGACAGGGTGCTCGCAACTCCGCGGCGTTGGGAAAAGCAGTTCCTGAAAAGGGCTGGTTTAGAGGAAAGTTCACTGGCTGCACCTTATTGTAGAAGTTCCCACGTTCTGCTTCTCTGATAGTAAAACAACTGGGATAGAGCGCGATGGCTACTTCAGTGTCCACAGGCCCCTTTCCGTGGGTCCTCTCCGGGTCCCTACGCCCCATCCCACTGCTGCCGTGTGGTTTTCATCTCCCCAAGTGCGGGAGGCAAGGTCGATCAGATCTTCATACCCCCCCTCTACAATGGGGGACTGGGAGCGCCTCCGACCACCCTGAGTTCGCACTTCCCTTTTCGCTTATCGCCATTGCGGGGTAAGGAACTGGCCGCCCTCATCCCACGAGTTACCCGCATGCTCCAAATCCACGTCCCCTCCTCAAGTCTCAAAGCCCAAGACAACCACCTCTGCTCTGACCATTCTATTGCCATTGCGTGTGCTTGCCCCTGCACTCGTCACCTTAGGTGGCCGCGTCACTTCCACCCTCTCCATTCCAGTCCCCTCAGGCCCTCTTATTCACAGTGCCCCAAGCAGCGCCGCCCGAGCGCCCGCTCCCTGGAGTCTGGCTTGATCTGTGGGTGGAACGTGAAATACCCAGGGGCCAACCAGACCCCCATCCTTGAGGCAATCTTCCTATCAGCACTATTCTCCAGACAGGCTTCGGAGAGAACTGGAAAGCCAAGGTCAAGGCTGTGATCTCTGGCAAGAAAATGAAGTGCAAATATGTTATGCAGAACAATGCTCCTCCGACAATCAACATGACAAGAGATGCAGGATCTCCCGCTAGCCAGGGCTCAAGCCTTTAAGGGTCTCCAGGATCATAAACGGACCTTCCTCTACCTGTCCAATACGCTTTCCGCTCTTCCCCCAATGACTAACTACTTTTCCTACCACCATCTTAATCATTATATGCAAGTTTCAATTATCTAATTACTGTCTCATCACCTGCATCATTGTTCTACCAGCATCCAAAAGATTTCCATCCTTGCCCGGCCGGGCGTGGCTCAGCGGTTGAGCGTCGACCTAGGATCCAGGCGATCAGGGTTCGATTCCCGGTCAGGGCACATGCCCGGGTTGCGGGCTGCAGCCGATCAATGGCTCCCTCATCATTGATGTTTCTCTCTCTCTCTCTCCCTCTCCTTTCCTCTCTCTGAAATCAATAAAGATATATTTTTTAAAAAACGAAAACCAAAAAAACAAAAGATTTCCATCCAGAGTGACAGTACACGCCACGCTGTCTATAACCACTTAAGTGGGAAGGAGACGGCTCAGTTCCTTCCTCAGCCCAATGGGTAACCTCTGCGTCTGAGTCTGAGAGAGAAGAGTTTAAGAACAGCAACCTGAGCGCCTCGAAATTCAAAAGTGACCGTTTCTGCTGCTTTACTAAACTAACACTTTAAAAGTTTCACTTAGGAAAGTCTTCTTTTTCTTTTCGTTAATTAACTTAATTCTCCTTTCTCTTGAGAATCCAAAGAGCAGCTGGGTTATGCAAGCTGCTGCCACTGGAGTGAAGCGTTTGGGTTGTGTGTTTTTACCATTCTGACCCAATAACATTTGTTGGCAAAGACTCTCCCAAACTGGCAAGAGCTATAAATTAGATATTTGAACAATTCTCCCTAGTTATACAATAGAGCTGTCCAACTTTCCAGTGCTAAAATGCTTTCGTTCGCAAGACTTATGTCTTTGGGGACTAAAAAATTTGCCTCTAAGTCAGATGAACACATGGATTATGAGTTATTAATTATACAGAAAAGTCTATGGGATCAGATAAACTGACCAAACCCTAAAGCTAACTGATGCATAATGCTTCCCATATTTGCATTAGATGAGAAAGCAGCAAAATCTAAAAGTCAGGGTGGTCATGACTTGGATAGAACCCAAAAGGCCAAGGCCCACTTTCCATGTCCGTTACCAAATGTTTAACTGATATCTCCAGGCTCGGCGAAGGCACCCACGGCATGGAGAGACTAGGCCTGTCTCTGAGTCCGCTCTGTTCCCATCCCTAGGAAAAAAGAGTTACAGCAGGACAAAAAGATTTACATGCCAAAAGCTGTCCAAAGTGGCACAGATAGGTAGACAGACAGAAACATAGATATACATATGCTCTTTCCTTACATGGGCAACTTAAACACAAACCCCCAATTTAAGACAAACAAGAAAAAATAAAGGACCGTTATTAAGGCCTAAAAGACAAATCAACAATAGCATTTCACTGCCTAAGTAGGATTCTTTTCTTTTGATTCCAGACTATAGGATACAATGGAATAAATATATATGTATTTGTATTTGAATATCAGAAAAGTATAGTGAACAACAGAAGAATAAAAATAAATCATGTATTATCAGTTGCATGACTAATCAGAAAAGGAGGAATCAGATGAACAAAAATCATCTTGGTTGATTTTAGACTTTGCCATAATTAATAATCTAAGCCAACGAACCTTTTGGAGTATTGATTTAAGAAATTATGTTTCAAAAAAAAACAAAACCTTCAAATATCCTAACCAAAATGTAAAATAAAACCAACTGGAGCATAAATTTTCAATTCAATGAACACAAATGGATGACAAAGGATTATTCAGTATCAAACAACGAGATCATGCTAAATTTTTTAAATATTTACTATAAATGATGAAAATAAATTAATAAATCCAAGTATAACTATTTTTTGGTTTCAGCTGAATGCAGGAATTTCCTCAAAAAAAATCCAAGTTGCTGCTTTCTAGGTGTATCTACAACTACTCTGAGAAAGGAAAAAGGCATCAAGATACCATCTACTTTCCTCTAGTAGAACTTTCATGATATAAATCAATCTTGAGGTTACTTATAACCTGAGCCCCATTTACAAATCACATTTATCCATCAAAAATTAAAGAGGAATCTTTTCTGCTTTAAAACACACACACACAGATCTTCATTACAGGCGTAGCAAAACAGAAACTGATTACCAAACCAACAAATATTGTGGGTTGTGATCTCAGTAAACATGAGCATCACAGTAAAAAATTCCCACCAGTTCTTTCTTTTTTTGGGTTAGAGATAGTTTTTATGTGTTAATAATTGTTTCAAGGAACTCATTGCACATTCGACCTATAGAGAGCTTTTGGCAATGTAGCAAAGTCACAAAGAAAACCTGCACTTTTACTGCAAAAAGACATGATCTTTACTGGTGCTTAAACAGAGAGGTAGCTTAAAGAAAGAGAGAGAGAAAGAAAAAACGGGACCATTTCTCCCAAATGTGATCAATTTCGTAAGACCTCAAAGAGCACTCCGATTTGGAGGAAAAACAATAATTTCTTACAAACTGTTAAAACAGATTAATTTCATCTACTTTATAGTAGCAAGTCTTCCCCGGATGTTAATAACAAGCAGAGCTGTTCAATGTTAGCATTTTGTCGCCAGAGACAATTGCTACATCACTGTGCAAACATAATGAACTCATTTTATTAGGCAAATAGTTGAATTCCATTCAAGTGCACTTAGTACAGTACTACACATTATAAATTGACTGAAATTAAAGAGCTCTCCGATTAGAAATGGGGTTTTAAAAAATACAACTAATACTGATTTCACAATGTTTCACTGGTGTTCTCATGAAACATACAAAGCGAATGATTGAACTGTTTCCAGCACCTCTGGAAGATTACCTCGTCCTTTAAGGTATTAAAATAGAAGTGAGAAAATACACCCCTGAAATCTACAATTGAAAGTTCAGTTTGAAAAACTGAAACCAATTTGATATGGTTGATTCCGATTATGGTTAAAGGCCAGAGGTCAGCTCAGGAGTTGATAAAAGTTTCAAATTAGTCACATTTGTTGAAAAATCACCAACACAGGTGCCTGTAATGTTTACGCTGCATCAGATGTTTCAGATCTGTGTTTGGTTAAGTCTTCAAATCCTAGACGTAATTTCTTAAAACTTCACTGGCTACTGAGCAGGAATTTTTAAAAATCCAAGTGGATTACATGGAAAATGAAGCTGTCCTTTCTCCTTTTATGAAATGCTTTTGATTCGTACCACCAAAAAAATATGCACAGAAAGACATTTAGACTCTTCAATACTTTTTTTTTAAATGCTCTTGAAAAACCTCCCTGCATCTGCTTTGCTTTCTGCAGGGTCCTCCTTTTCTTCCAAGAGCTTTGCCACACATGTGCATCAGCTTTTTATATCGATACTTTCGTTGCCTGTTCCCACAACGGAGGAGGTGGCTTTGCTAGACAGCAGCTTGATTTTTTTGAGATTTACTTCTGGTAGGATTCTCGAACTTTCGACTGTAGTGCATCGCATGTCTTCTTGGCATCGCCTAGCAGCATGGCCGTGTTGGGTTTGTAGAAGATCGGATTGTCCACCGCCGCGTAGCCAACACCCAGGGACCTCTTCATGACAATGACCTAGGGACCGAAGACGAAGGGAGAGAGTGCATGTAACAGACCTGGCCGGGGGGGGGCCCGCAGGCACTGCCCCCCTAACTCTGAACAGGCATGGACCACTACCAATTCTGTACTACGGAGACTTTTAAATACCCAAGGAGTATTTTTAATGCAGAGTTACACTGTATGAATTTGAATGTTTTACGGTCCTACTACAAATTTTAAAATAAATGTAGCTGAGTGGGAAATGGTATCATTCCTGTTCCATCACTTCAAGGTAAAATATATCAGAAAGCTCTAAAGCAGAAGCCCGCAGAACAGTGTGGCTCGTCACAAGGAGAGCACTAATAACTAATGTCATCATCCCACAGAGCAAAATGGAAGGGGGAGCCCATCTCTAACGCTGATGGGCTACAGACGTTCACAATTACACAGATTAGGGCTGGGGCTGTCCTGCTGAATACCAAGTCCGTTCCTGATGAAATGAAAAGCCTTCCTACGTCTCCTAGGACGTGCCATGTATCCAAAACTGAAAGCAGTACAAACGTGTTCACACTTCCAATAGCATTAGTACAGTAACGTGCTCTGCAAACTCAAATATTAGTGAGAAATACAATAATTTCTCATATTCCCATGAACCAGTGCATGGATATCTGCTCACGTGCCACAAATACTAAGTTTTAAGTTCACATGTGTACAGTAAAGAGGAACAGAATTAAAGGGGAATGTGCATTCTGTAATCTTGGTCCTTAAAATGCAGCTGTGGCTCGCAGCGGAGAGCCGTGCCCCGCACCCGGGAGGGCGGCCGAGCCTCGCGCTCCCGCCACCTGGCCGTGCGCTTCCAGGAGCGTGTGCGCGCGGCTTGCTTCCTCGGGCCGCGCTGCTGTCCGGATTTCCAAATCACCTTCCTCCTCGACACCCCATAACGACATACAAACTCCCTTCCAATGACATTAAGTGAAAAAATGTGCTCGTCTTCACATGACAGCGGTGATACTGACTCACTGTCCCAGAGAGAAGCCATCTGCTCCCCGGGGCACCTGGAGCTCAGCCAGACTCATTCCAAAGCTCTTGCTCAGCGGGGGTTATAGATTCTGCTAATCCAGCCGCGTAATCCCCTCGAGTTCTACTAGGGACCGGGGCCCCCATTCAGATTCTCTGGTGACCACGGAGCAGACAGAAGCTGCATCGAGAGGACCGGACCCTAAACCTACTCTAACTCCCGGGCTTCCTCCAACCTTCGTCACTTCTCATCACGCGACCAAGGGAAGTCTCGTGTGTGTGTGTGTGTGTGTGTGTGTTTGCATTTTAAGAGAGTTTGGGTTAGCAGAATGAAGCACAGGCCTGCAACTTTACCTGCTTGGACTTCCAAACCTCGAGCACAGGCATGCCTGCAATGATAGAGTTCGGGTCTTCCTGAGCTGCTGAATTGACAGTGTCATTAGCTCCAATTACAAGGACCAAATCAGTGTCTACATCGTGAAAGAAAAAAGAGAAAATATAAAACTCAGGGGGGTTACTTTCACTTCTTTTCGGGCAAACGAGAGTGATCTGACTTTATAACAACAATGGCAACATTTACAGGACCCACACTGTGCTAGGCACTGTACCAAGAGCTTTATCAGAGAGGCTCGGTAACTTCGCCGACGCCACACAGCTAAAAAGCAGTAGGCCTGCGTCTAACCTAAGCATCCTGGCTGGAGCTTGCATCTTTATGCTTTCCTTCCCTACAGTGGATCTACCGAATGTGACTTGATACAGTTCTTTCATTATCCCAAAGTGATCTTGCCAGTTACATTATTTTATAATATCTGCATTCCACTTTCAGCGTCTAAAATGACCACTTAAATGCAATTTGCTGTCTAAAAGAAAATGGTCCATGGGTCTGTGCTATATTAAAGCTGTGTCCATAATTCCTGAAGCTGGCAGGTTTCACACATAATTTAGCAACAGTGAAATCTGAAAGGAGGCATAAAGTTAAAATGGCCTAAATTCCCTCTTTAAGCGCTATAACATGAACTACCTTAGAATTTTGCCAAAATGCCATGTGAATCTAGACATACGCACGATTTCATTATTTTTCTCTAATAAACAGCATTTTTTTAAGTTTACAGTGGATACTTGCCAGAGGGAACTGGTTTAATTTTAACAAACACGATCCTGGGCCAGATGTCATTAGCATTCAACAAATACCCATGACAGCCACACAGCACAGCACCTTACCCAGGGAAGTCTAGTACTTTAGAGAGAACAGAAAATGACTGTGCTGATCATGAGTTGGTACAATTGGAAGCCAGAAAATACCGCAGAAATCAGACACTAAATTATCAACAGCAATTTTTACAAATGAGGAAGCTGAGGTTGAATATCTAGTTCAAGGTCACGAGAGGGAGATTCAGGGGCTGGATTCCAAAGCCATAGGTGTTCAGAGTCCCTGGGCAACGTAACCCACGGCATCACCTCCCAGGATCTGCACCATCCCTCAGCTCTCCTCACAGGAGCGAAGTTACCTGTGCTGCTTACAGATCCGGTGACCCCGACAGCTGTGCTACTCAGCAGTTTCATTTATTGAATTTCAACTGCATCCCTGCCAGGAGCAGGTTACCCTTCACTTGGCAAGTAGGTCTTCCATGATCCCACGATTTCTGCCCTAAGGCTGGCTGGCGTTGCTTTACCCACGCTAAGAATATTTCAATGTCACCATCGGCCCCATCTCTTACCTGGGAAATCCTGGTTGATCTCATCCATTTCCAGCACAACATCATATGGGACCCCGGCCTCCGCCAGCAGCACATTGAGCTGACCAGGCATCCGGCCTGCCACTGGGTGAATTCCAAACCTAAATGTGAAAAAGCAAACAGCTGGCCTTACTTGATGGGCCACCAAGTACAGAGACCCCAAGATCACCTCCCAGTCGGCATGGTTTGTTCCTGGCACCTCTGCTTCTCCTGGTCTATCTCCTCTCTGCAGGCAGCAACAGAACCAGCCTGGATTATGTGGTCGATTTACAAACATTGAAGTTGGAGATTCGGTGTCCAGTACGCACAAACTAGGGCTACGCTCGGAAACGCATAACTTTAGAACCCGACTCTCCCGTATACGTTTTAAGTACAATGAACTTCCAACAACATTCACATATAATATCGCTTTACATTAAAATAAGTACTGTGCTCTTTCATTATATTTTCTGACATACCTTGCATCTTTAAAAACGTACGTAAGTCGACATGGAATGAAACATTTGCCATGAAAAATCAACTCTGCCTTCAACTTTAACCTCTATGTCCCAAAGCGGGGAAATGAGATAGTGCCCTGCACGTAAGTTAATGGCCTACAATCTTTCAGAGAGTCATACGAAGCATTTTTACCCCACATCACAGAGGAAATATGACAGTAACATGCAGGAACATCTAAACGGCAGAGAAATACACAAATCAAAGGGAAACGGAGGCGTCAAGCAATTCCTTTCAGCCACGGCCGCAATGGGATCTTTCAAGTCACTTAATCCAACCTCTTGCCCACAGTATTGATAGCTGTCTGCTCAGCACTGGGCACAGTCCCTGTCATATAGGAAGGGCTCACTAAAAAGCAAGTGAGCGCTGGCCGGTGTGGCTCAGTGGTGAGGGTCGACCATGAACCAGGAGGCCCTAGTTCGATTCCTGGTCAGGGCACATGCTTGGGTTGCAAGCTCCATCCGCAGTAGGGGGCGTGCAGGAGGCAGCTGATCAATGACTCTCTCTCATCGTTGCTGTTTATATCCCTCTCTCCCTCTCCCTTCCTCTCTCCAAAATCAATGAAAACATGTTTTTTAAAGAGTGAATAAATGAATGAATCCAGTGAAGAAATGCATTTTATAGTATCTCTTGGCTGGGATCCATCCAGTCTCAGCTTAAATACATTAATGTAAGAGTTTCAGTGACCAGAAACTTACTCCTTCCTGAGGTCTATTACATTACTAGACAACCCTGATAATTACATACAACACACACACGTGCACAAACACACACTCATTACATTAAGCCAAGGAGAACCCCCATCTCACTGCTTTCCAAAGTTTGCAGTTTTGCTCTCCGGAGCCACGAGTCGACTCCCTCTTTCACATGTGGATCCCTTTCAGCCATCCTAGGATGCCTACTACACACACATCCTCCAGTCTTTCAGCTATTCGATGACCCACAGGATGTCCTAGCTGCCTGTTCCTACCTCCACTGTCAGTGCCCGGCTCAAACCTCAGTCTCCCAAAGTGAATGCAATATTGCTGGGTGTGACTGAGATGCACAAGGCCCAGCAAGAAAATCACATCCTCAGACCCTTCATCGATGAAGCCTGAGGCTGCACGAGCACTGACAGCCGGCACAAGGCACCGTTGTCTCTTACAGGACACGTGCTCAGTGAAGATGCCCTGCGGCTCTCACAGGAACTGCTGCCAAGCCAGGCCTCCGTCCCCCCTCCTAACACAGGTCCTGCTAGGAGCAGATCAAAGCATAGGAACCGACCCCTCGGCAAGCAGACCTGAAAAGAGTCTATAAAATGGCCATTTATATCACCCAGATAACTGATAAATGGTTTTCTACACCTTTAAAACTGACTGTGACAAGCCTGAATTATTGGAGGGCTTATCATTGGGAAGAAAGAAAGACATCAAGTGACAGGTGTTCTCTTTTACCAAATTCCCTTTTACATGGTCTTCCTTCTGGGGTCGCTGAACGTTCCTAAATAACCACTACGTTTCAAAAAACAGAAACTCGGGCTAAAAGGAAACAAAACAGTTATCTCTAGGTAGTTGTACAACAGACCATCATTTATTTCCCATCTTTTTAATATTTTTCTATGAGAACGGACAGTGTAAATTAACTTCATTGAAAATAAATTATACCTCCATGCTTTTATGTTGATATAATTTATAAGTGATTTCTCATATATTATCTCTATCCCTAACATTCTCTATCAAGAAGTAGAACTTAGGGCAGCTGATCCAAATCCAGCACGTGGTTAAAGAGGCTGGTTTTAGAGCCGCACTCCTCCACCTAGAAAGAGTGAGCCAGAGTGTATGCAAGAGGGGCCTGCGTGGGCTCTGGCCTAAAGGCTAATGCTGACCCGTTAGAGTGGCCTATGCAAGTTGCACAACTTTTTTGTTGCTGTTGTTAATCTTCACCCAAGGATTTTTTTTTTTCATTGATTTTTTAGAGAGAGTGGAAGGGAGGGGGAGAGACAGAGAGAGAGAAATATCAATGTAAGAGAGACACATCAACTGGTTGTAGGTGCCCTTGACTGGCATTGAACCTGGGACCTTTCAGTCCAAGGGGCCGATGCTCTAACCACTGAACCAAACCAGCAGGGGCTGCACAACAGTTTGCACAACTTTTTAAATAAATGGTTAAGTTGGGATTCAAACTCAGGTCCTTCTGCCTCAAGAGTCTGCACTTCTAACTACTATACAATACAGTCAGTAGAGCCAAGCAACTTAAGAGGTGGTTTTGTTCAGTTAACAGCTCAGGTTAATCAGCTGTGTGATGTTGGGCAAGTTATTTATTGGCTCTCTTTGTTTTCCCATGGAGTAGTAACCAGCTGTTATTAGAAGCCTGGGCTGTAAAAACCAGGGCTGTAAAAACTGTGTGGAAGAGGTCTGAGAAATATCTATTTATCTCTGCTGGAATGGGAGAAATAAGGAGTTCCAGGAACCCAATTTATAGTGTGCTTTGAGAAAAATAGAGCCAATAATTGTTCAACAATGCTACAAGCTATAAAAAAAAATTAAATATGGACAAATAGACGCAGAAGAAAATAATGTCCCTTTGTATACAATGTACTACAACAATGCAAACGTGGACCAGCACCTCTTAAATGCAGAGGAAATAGATTTTGAAAAAATTACTAGAGGTGGGAGGTAGAAATGAACTGGACAAAATAAACTATTAATAATCTAAGATTCATTTCAAGGGAATCCCTCAGTGGGATGTCTTAGTCTTATTTTAATGAGAATAAAATTTAAGATAGTCATCAGTTGACTCCACACAGTGCTCCCCCAACCGCACTGTCTCATCAGCTTTCAGTTCTCAGACCACAGTTTCTCCTGTCATTTTGGGGAACGTAACAGTTCAACACTTGAGTAAAAATCTTAAAATGTCCTCTAAAATATTTTTTTCACTAAACCTTGAAATCCTAATGTCCTCCTCTGTTCCACACCCGAGTTCTCCATCACTCATGAAAACAAAAGAAATGAGGCGAAAGGCTGACAACTGACATTCGCCCTCTTCCTGCAGAAACGCCAGCTCCCCTCAGCACCCCTGCAGCTGCTTTCCGACGGTCTCAGGACCCCTGGTCCTGGTGGCTCAGCACAGGAGGCTCGGCCCCTGGGCCAAAGGGCCTCGGGTCCGACTCCCAGCCAAGGGCACGGACCTGGACGGTGCGTTCATTCTCCAGACCCCGTCGGGCCACACGTGGGAGGCAAACAATTGATGTGTGTGTCTCTCACATCAATGTTTCTCTCTCTCCCTCTCTCCCCCTCCCTCCCTTTCATTCCCTCTAAAAATCAATGGACAAAATATACCCTCAAGTGAGGATTAAAAAAATAATTTTTTTAAAACTGTCTCAGAGAAAGCATTTCTAAAATGTGATGCAGACTCTTTGGTTGAGATAGCTACTTAAAAAATTGTAACATTTTACAACGGCAATAAAACATTTTTAAAAATTTTCTCCAGGAACCAAAGTAATATACTCATTAAATGGGAGTTATTATTACTGAACTTCAAATCTGAACGTAAATATCAGTTTAATATTTAAATAATAATACAGCACTTTAAGCATGAATATAAAAAATAGACTTGGAGAGAAGATGCACTATGGTAAAATAACCACGATGTACTCTTAAGCCTGCCAATTGCCATGATTTGGGGAAAAGACATGATGCACAGAGGTTTCAAAGGTGCTTCACTTTGTGAACAGGAATCTCAGTTCTGCATTCAGGGCTTTGGGCCTTTCCCTCGAGGACAGGGTGGCTAAATAATCCCTCAGGTTCATGGGCAGCAACAGCAGCCGTAAGAAAACACAGTGTCAAGCTCAGAGAAGGTAAGTTCACTTATGTGTAATAATTCAAATTTTTCAAAAGATGAGGGGCTGAACTTGTGTAATCCTTACATCAAGTGGGAGAGGGCAGAGCACAGAGCAAAATAAATGCACAGAGAGAGTGACCTGGACATGTGGCGCGAAAGGCACGCCTGACACATAGTACTGGAAAATAAGAAAGTAATGTGAATATCAAAATAAACAAGGACAGTAATAGATCATAAGCCACTGGGGAAAAGGGGAATTCATGACTCAAGACTGATAACAGAGTCATAAGTCAATGAGGAAGGAAGGGAGAGAGGGAGGGAGGCACGCTCAACCCTACAGCGGCAGACCATCAACTGATAAGCGAGGTGGGTGATAAAACCACCGTTTTGCAACCATCATCATAAGATTGGTTGGGATAAAAACCACCAGCACGTGTTCAGTCTTAGGAGTTTGATGAGGTGCAGCACATGGGGAAGGTCTTACCAAGAACTCCAAGCAGCGGCCCCGTCCCTTACTCTTGCCTCAACGGGGAAAGAAAAAAAATTTACACACTTTCAGCGCTTTCTCTGAGAGCTGTTTTACTGAAATGATCAGGAATGAGAATGAGTGGTCGTCAGAAATCATAACCATCTGTAGTTTTTGCTCAACGGGCATTTGATTAAGTGGACAGGGTCCATATTTCTCTTTCTCCCCAGCTAACAGTTCCTTGTAAATACTGTACCTAACAAAATAGATTACCAAGATTAACGAACCAAGTCTCAGCCAAGAAAAACTTAAACAGTAATT